AGAGGGAGAGCCCCAGGAGTCACTAACAGGAAGTTTCCAGCCGCAAAATCCCTGGAGCAAGAAATAGTGCCAGTGTTACCCCTACAGGCCAACTGGTGTTGTTCTGGGCATTTCCATTGTGCTTATTTGCTTTGAGGTAAAGGCGGGGACAGGGGAGAAGGAACTGATCACAAGCTGTTACTCAGCATTTCCACTTGTGAATGTTTGCACGGCTCTCCTGCCCTGCTCAGTCCTCGGCTGCCTGAAGTAACCAAGGAATTTGAGATTGCAGCCAAGAACTCTTGAGCGCTTAGCAGATATAAGAACTTAACCCCAAGCCTCTAGGCAGGCACTGTTTTAAAACTTAACACTGTAATATATGAACACCAGTGAAACATTATAACCCAATATAAAAATCTCTCTGTTAAGCTGATGTGCCATTTGGAGGTCGCTGACCTAGCAAGCCCTATTTATACCTGGACATAGGTCCACATGTCAAGAACAGGCTCTGGCGGCCTCCCTGAGACAATAGCACTCTGTGGCTGACACAGCAAGAAAACTGGTTTCCTACAGGCAGGACCTATGCTTCTGGCTCGTTATCTGAAGATGCATTCACATTGATAAAGTCAACAACTTCTGTCCCATTGTCAAGGGGGTCACACTTCCCATATCATGTGCGTGACAATGTACTAGAAGCACTGTGACCTTAGTACTTTACAGACTCACAGTCATGGTATCTGCAATGGGTATGTTTGGACGCTTGTGTGTACATTTAGCACAGCTTGAGAATCCCTAATCCAAAAATCCAAAATCTGAAAAGCTGCAAAACTTCACGAGAAAACTACTGAACATGAGTATAAAGTTACCTTCTGGCTAGATGCAAAATCTTGTAACAGAAATAAATTGATTCTGTGTTTAGATATGGGTCCTATCCCCTAAGACACCTTAAATGTCAGTGTCCAAAGTATTTTTAAAAAATAAGATCTGAAATCAGAACACTTTTGGTCTCAAGTATTTTAGACAAAGGACACTGACCTACGGGTTCAACTAAGTTCAGGGACCACCCTGGCTGGGGCCCACAGAAACGCTGCCTTTGGGCGCAAACACCTGCCAAGGGTGAGAGTACTCGGTACAGCACAGTGAGCACACTCAAAGTTCCCTTGTGGCACATGGGAAGGGAACTGAAAGGGGGGCAGGAGGGGAAGAGAAAGGAGATCAACAGGTGGGGGGATTGTGAGGTGCTGTGCACACTCAAGTCCCTACAAGGCATGTGATCATCATATGCGACAAACACGTGCTCAAATATATGTGAGAAGGGGACCAAGAGGTGCTGGGAGGCGGACAGGGTTAAAAATAGGAAACGAAAAGTGTGGTACATGTGCTATCTGCCCACGACGAAAGCAATCGCAATGAACTACAAATACCACTAAAATTTTTAAAAATTACTATTAACATATATACTATGAGGACAAGGTAGTTTCGTCTACCTATCATAAAAATATTCCATTGTCACATAGAAATGAAAAGAGAATCTTAAGAATGTATTTCGGGGGCCGGAGAAATGGCTCAGTAGAATAAGCGCCTGCCTGGCAAGCTCAAGGGCCTGAGTTCAATCCCCAGTTCCACAAAAAAAAAAAAAAAAGAATGTATTTCAAATAAAAAATAATATTTAAAAAAACATAATATATTCTAAAGAGAATATTTCATTTGAGGCTAACATCAAAACTCTCTTCTGGGGCTAGGGAGATGGCTCAGTAGAATAAGCGCTTCCTTGGCAAGTGCAAGGGCCTGAGTTCAATCCCTGGTTCCAGAAAAAAAAAAAAACCCTCTCTTCTTCCCGGCCACATCCCATAAAATGATTAGGAAAGTCTCACAAAACAACACACACACACACAATTTTGGCAGTGAAGAATTACCAGAAGAGCTGCGGAAGGCCCCAACCCCAAACGGCAGCTCATTATTCGGGCCTACTTTCCTCTTAGATGACCTGCTTGACTGGAGCAAAGACATCTGAGAGGTGTGGAGTGGCACTTCTGCTTGTGTGTGGCACTGCCTGGAGTGTGTGGCACTGCCTGGAGTGGCACTTCTGCCTGCCTCTGCAGGGCCAGAAGGACAGAAATTAAAGACCTGGCACCGCCAAGGAGCTGGCTGCAATTTTAGACAAAATACAATCAAACAAAGCATTGTGAAGATGAACACAACGATAAAAGGTTTATAAAGCAGGAATTAAAAGCTGGAATTGCATAACCTAAAAAATCCTAAAATGGTAGGTACCTAAAAGCAGGTCTTAGAATACATAAATCAAACATAAATCTGCATCGCTATAAAGATGCAGAAAAACGGGAGTCAAAGTGAGACATTTAACACACGTCTATCAGGGACAGAAAAATGATGGCAAATCTGAAAAAAAAATGACAAGATTAAAATTCACATGTTAATACGTAGAGCAGTACTTCATCATGCATAAGCACCACCTTTGCCTTATCCACTCATCCACTGATCCACAACCTGCTTCCAAGATTTACCTATCATGGCTGTGCGGCTAGGAATACGGATATGCGTGTATTCATGTAACATCTTTAACTTTTTCAGGAAAATACCAAGAAGGGGAATGGCTGGGTTAAAAGGAATTTCTAGTTACTTCTTTGAGGAATCTCCGCAGAAGTTTCCATAGTGGGCAAAGTAGTTTACAGTAGCTATTTGTAGGAAAATAGGTGCGTTCTGAGAGCCTGATGTTAACTGAAATCAATCAGACATGCAAGCATAAATGTCACATCATTTCTCTTACATGAAAAACCTGAAATGTAAATACAGAATACAATGAAAAAACAGTAACAGGAAACAAGGGACAGAGCTGTTGTAAAAGGGAAGGCAATCAAGAGATGGAAGGAGGGGATAAAAAAGAATTAAAACGTGTTATGTACATGTGCCAACCCCCTTTGAGGGAAGAGAATCATTCGTACTACAACGTGGATCAATAAAAATTAAAAAGAATATTAAATGATAGTTAGATGTTCACTGTACAATTATTCTGGGATTTTTATACTTTTGAAATTTTTCATTCCCTGGGCCTGTTGTGTTGGCCCCACCCCCAGGGCATGCTGAGATGGCAATTGAGACTGGGCGTGGTGGCACATGCCTGTAATCCCAGCTCTTAGGAGGCTGTAAACAGGCAGATCACTATGCATCTGGTCTAGTAGTGAGACCCTGAATACCCTGTAGACACTTCCCTAAAAATACAAAATAATGATGATGATAATAATAATAAAATGGTAGAAAAGTAATTATTCTTAATACCTTCAAAGAAATTTTTTAAAAGGATAAAAAGTAAATGTCATTTGTACAACTTTGTATCCAATGATCCTCAAATACGTTTTCTTGGTGAGCTCACACGAAGAGTCACAGACACTGAATTTATGCTTTTCTTCTGCTTGCTCCATAAAGAGGTACGATTATGGTTTCCATAAGCAGAAGGATCCCCAAAGGCGAAATCTGTTGCACCAAGTGTCTTGGTGACTTTGAATCAATGCTTGGCCAGGTCTGGGATGACAAGGACGAAAACCGAAGCAAGAGGATGGCTCGAGGAAGACCCCAGAGCCTTCCCTGTCCCAACCTGGCCCAGGGGCGGTTATTATCACACTGAGTTGTAGAAGGGACAGGATAATGCACAACGCTGGGCCTCTATCACAAAAGGCCCGGAGGCAGCAGGAAAAGCAGTGTCATGTGCAGCTGGGCAGATGATTCCGTTTTTTGTTTTTCTTTGATGGTTAAACTCTAATTCCTTCCTTGTGGATTCCTGCCTACTCCTCCTCCTCCTGTGTCACCCTGCCCTAGCCCAGGCATCTGCACTGGAGTCTAGATGACGCCTTGCCACTCGCCTTCCCAAGCATGCATGTGGGGAGCCCGACCTGGTAAACGCAGTATCTGTTCTAGCACACACTGTTATCTTCAGGGCAGTTGCTTAGTTTACAGGTATCGACATATACAGTTAGTCAGGGTGAGAATCCTACCAGTTAACTGCTAGTTTCAAAAACCTGCTGAAGAGTCTCAGGATCATTGCCTTAACCATCTTGTGCATATAAATGTATTGTTTTCCCCTGTCATGTTTCCTAGCTTTTTTTCTCCTTGCCCTCTCTTCATTATTTAATTCTTAAGTTCTCACTTTCTTTTTAATTGTGTTATAAATTTCTATTTTTATGTCTTCTTTGAGTTCTCACGCTAGGGAGACTCACGATATTTACACAGCTTTTGTGAGAACAATTCACCTCACCTCCTACATTGTTCAGCCCCAACTTCCAAGGACACAACCAGGTCCTGAAGGTGTTCTTTGCTTCCACCCTCAACTTCAGTGGCCTGGATAACTTCTGTTGCCGTGGGAGCTGGCTTTGAAACACCGACACATGGAGAGAGCCATCTCTTAGGATTCAGAGAACTCTAGTTACAGCTACAAGCCTGGGGTGTGGGGTGAAGGCTGCAGACATGACCTGCACTATGTGGACAAACAGCCCTAAGTACAACTCTACCAACCACTAACAGCTCAACCAGAACCACCCCCCAAGCCTGGCCTAATTAGAGGAACTATGCAAGCAGGACTTGCTGCTGTAGTTCTGACCTAATTTTCTCAAAAGAATCTCAGCAACATTACCAACTCTCTGCCAAGCTGGCAACATTCAGTGCTGGGGAGAAAGCCTCAATGTCTCCTTCCAGCTACTGCCAGCCCAGTGTCCCCAGCTGCTCCTCACGAGCCGACTCTGACACTCACCTCTGCACCCAGAGGCTAAGGGACAAAAACCAGCATCCTTCACACATCCCACAGACCTCAACTGGGCAAGTCTGCACTCAGAGCAGAGGGTGTTGAAATCTTTCTCAAAACATTCTGTACGGCCTGTGCCCTGCCTGGATTTTTATGAGCACCACTTCAGGAAGTAAAGCGCATCGATGTTGCTCTAAGTGCCTTCGTAATAGGTAACCTCCCCTGCTTTTCCTTTGCCGCTATCTGGCACAGGGCCAGCCACACTCACCTTCGTACATCTCCAGGATGTGCACCGTGTCACCAATCTGCAGGGAGAGCTCCACATCTTGAGAAGCACTGTAGTTATAGATCACTGGAAAAGAGGCAAAAAGAGCAAAATTAGAATGCGCGTGACTTCCCGGCACATTCAGAGGGCGCTGAACAATTTATTCAATAAACAACTCCCTGGGAAATGACTTCCTGTAAATCACCCAGGGTGAAGTGGAGAATGGAGCCCCATTTCCACCATCCAACAATACTGACTGGTTGCTTGCTATGCACCACATTCCACATTAGAGCCTGGTGAGAGTGTGACAGAAACACAGAGGTATGGTCCTTGTCCCCAGAGAATTCAATAGTCTTGGGGAAATGAGAGAGATATTTGAATAATCAGAAATAACTTTAATTAACATTGGGATAAGTGTTATGAAAGAAAAACCCATCTATTATGAACACACTGTGGGACTCTGTTGGCCAGGTTTCTGTTCATCAGATAACGGCCTGAAACAGGGTAATTCTATAATCTCCAGGACATAAGCCAGCCATCTATTGGTTTCCTCAACACAGTACTTAGTGGCCAAAAGGCTACACAGGTACAACCTCCAGTAAAGACTAACACAGGGGATAGGTCGGGGATAGTACCTTGCCCTGTCCTAAACACCCTGGGGAGCGGGGCCGCCCCAGTGCTTCCTGACAAAGCCAACCTCTGCCACCATGCTCCTTCAGACTGTAATGGTCCAAGTCCCTTAAAAGAGCAGACTAGCTCACAACTAGCTTGCAACTGACGATGAAGGCCGCAAGCCGACACTGAGAAAGGCAAGCGCTCTGCAGAGCTATTCCACCAACAAGTTTATGTGACTAATAAGCACAAGAAAGATATACATCATTATTAGTCACTAGGGAAATGCAAATGAAAACCACAATCAGATACCACTTCGCACCCACAAGAATGGCTGCAATTAAACAAACAAAAAAAGCAGTCACTTGGCAAGAATGTGGAGTCTAGAACTAATCAGGCTGGCAGGAATGTAAAATGCCAGCCCCTCTGAGAGACAGCTGATAGCTGCTTAAACATAAATTTGACATACAACCCAGCAGATCTACTCCTAGGTATCTACAAAGAGAGAAAAAAAAAATATGTCCACAACACAACCTTATCTGAATGCTCATAACTATTGGATGATTTTTTTTCCTAAATCCCCTGCCAAAAGATACCCATGTCAGATCCCTGGAAGCTCCGTGCATTATCTTATAAGGCAAAATAGGCGGTTTAGAAGCTCAGCAGTGTAGCTTTCCCCTGGTTCTCAGGGTGGGCCCTGGCACAGTCGCAGGTACCCTTAGGAAAGGCATTTTGGAGTGATGCGCAGCAATCACAGGGACTAACTCCACACACAGGATGGCTGGGCAGCGCTAGAAGCTGGCAGGAACAAGCAAAGGATCTCCTGAGACCTCAAGAGGGAACGCAAGTCTGTCTACACCTTGAGTTAGAAGTCCAGACTCCAGAACTGTGAGATAAGAAATTCTTGTTATTTCAAGCCACTGAGCGTGCAGCACTTTGTTACAGGCAGGAAAGGAAACCAATACAGCAGTTGTGTTCACAAGAGTCAAAAGGAAAAACAATTCACCAGCTAACGGCTGTGCACACAAAATGTGGTAAAATACTAAAGTCCACAGACACCCAAATCCCTACATAAATTGGAGCAGTATTTGCATTTAACTTAAACACAGCTCTCCTAAATTTTAAATCTACTCTAGATGCCATATGTAATCCAGAACAACTTACTGCTACATAAGCCATTTTAATATATTATTTAGGGAATGATGACAAGGAAAAAATA